GTAACAGCAGAGTCTGGAGCAGCCTGGCTGGGGTGCCCGTGCCAGGCCATCCCTGGTCCCGCCCTGGCTCCTCCAGGCAGACAGGGAGTCCTCAGGTGCCTGCGCAGCGGTGGACGCAGCTCTGGCTGCCTGGTAATTCTGCAAGCCGTCAGCTTTCCGGGCAGCCAGGTCCCCAGGGTCTGTGGCAGGGCAGAGATTCGCTAGGTGTTTATGGACTGAAATGTACCGGGCTATAAATAGGTGCTGTTTGCCTGGCCTGCTCAGATGCTGGGGTTGTTCTTTTCTCATTTTCTTCCCCGTTTGTCAGCTCTAATGAAGGAAAAAAGGAGCAGAGGGGGAAAATCCACCCACCGAACGGTTTCAGGCTGGCAACCAGAGCATTGCGCAGTTTCTCAGGAGGTGACAGCCAAGGTCCGGCTGCAAAGGCACGGTCGGTACTTCTGAGACGAGGGGGACGTGAGCTCTGGAGGTGCAGACGCTGTCTCTGTGCCCATGGCTCTGGGTCTGGAGACGCCAAGCCTCACTCTTGTGCTCTCTGGTGCCCGTTTTGCCATGGCTGGGGCACGCTCCTCATCCTGATGACTCTGGCAGGCGTTTGGCATTTGGTTGCACGCGCTGTCCCCTTTTTCCCGACAAGAAGTCTAGAAGGAAGAGCCAGGGCTCTGTTCCCCTTCTGCACGAGGACATCACGGCAAAGGGACCGGTGCCTACCCTAGGTCACGCAGCGGGGGCAGCACGGCCTGGGCTCCTGTGTAGGTCCCAGCGCTCACCACACAGTGTGGCCTTCGTTTTTCTGGAACTGGGCAGGGACAGCAGGGCTCCAGCGAGGTCTGGGGGTGGTGGTGGAGAGTTGGGGTCCTCATACTCCGCCAGCGGGGTGGCATCATTGCTAAACATGGCCTCAGGGTTGAGAACCCAGCGAGAGGAAAGAAATCCGGAGGGAAGTCATTTGGGGACACATCGGAGTGTCCTCGTGCCCAGGATCTTCCTCTGGGGCAGTCTGTGGGCTGGCAAGCCCTGCGAGCAGAGAGGAAGGGTGGATCTGGGCACAGACGCAGCGGCTCAGCCTGGCCTCTGTTACCAGGGCCAAACGGTGCTCTGCGGCTCCTCCTTGAGGAGAGGACAGGGTCCAGGCGCTGCTGGCTGGATGCTGTGACCGTCACTTGCTCTCTTCCTCTGTTGTCTCCTCCTCATTGTAAGTTTATGTTGTTACCAAGACTCTGCCTTCACCCATGCTTTGCTGTCTAGGGGTGAACTCTTACTCACCCTGAAAGGCCCACCCGCTGAGCCCCGCAGGGCAGTACTCACTTCCTTCCAGGTCGCACTCTGGGCTGGTGGTTTGGGACTCATGTCTCCACACCGCCGTCGAGTGAGTGTGTCTTTCTGCTTCTGCCCCCCTGCTTCAAGGGCGGGAATTACTTCCTCATCCATCTCCACCCCCAGTGCCTGGCTGGGTCTGAAAACGCCCCAAGTCAGTGTGCACCCTGCGCTGGGTCAGCCGCCGCTCCCTTGTGCAGCTCTGTTCCCATATGTCACTGAACGCTTCCCGTTGCTACGTTGGAAAGCACCAGGGTTAAAACACACAGAACGCTAGCTAGCATCGTAGGCCTTGCCTTGTGCTGCTTCCTCCCAGATGACGGTTCATGAAACTTTCCATCTCAAGCCTGCCTTGCAGTTGTGACGGAAGCTGCACATAGCAGCGCTCCTGGAGGTTGAGCATCGGTGCTGGCCGAGCCCACGCCCCATGCTGTACGTCAGGCGTGTGCACTTCGAGGGCTCGGTATTTGTGCCATGTACATATCTATGTTTATGTGGCCCCCATTCTAATAAGGAGTCCTGGGGCTCTGTGACTGGCCAGAGCCTTCTGCTTGAAACTAAAGCTCAGTGATATCAGTAGAGAGACCCCCTGTGTGGCTCTTGAGAGCATTGTGGGTCTGTGTTTACAAGTCACGCACCTACTCTCCTGCGCTGCACAGTGCCACAGCCAACGCGGGGCCTGCGCTGGGGCCCAATGGGGCCACACGCTGTGTGCTCAGAGGAGCAGTGGGAAGACTGCAGCTGGAGCCCAGTCCTCTGCCTGGGTGTCTCAGAGTGAAGCACCCGTCCGCTTCCTGGTCAGGCAGCAAGTAAGGGCAGGAAGATCCTCCAGTAAAACACTGTAATCTGCGTGCTCCACAGGACAGCCTTCCCCTGGCTGCTTCTCCGTCCACAGCTCCTCATCGGTGGCACAAGGGTGGGCAATCCATCTGATTGGATCACACAGTGTGAGAGGCAGTTCCATGAAAATCGCTGCGTTCTCAAGGTATCCAAAGTGCCCAACACACAGCAGCAGTGCTGATTACTAGTCCTTATCATTGCTGTGTGCTTCTGTTGTATCAGTCAGGGTTTACTAGAGGGACAGATCTAATATAAGAGATTTTATGTTAAATCTGTGAATAGTATGTAGACAGCTTACTAGTAGGCTTACAGCGGCCACCTGCAGAGTCAGGCGTGGTGCGTGCAGAGCTGTCTGCGTGTGGGACAGCCCGGGGGTGCCGGAGCCCACCGCAGAGTCTGCCGAGACTGCGTGGAAGACAAAATGGCTGTGTTGGAGGCTGAAGTAGCCAGAGACCAACGTCCAAAGGCAAAGGTGAAGACTGGAGCTCCTCCCAAGAGAAAGGGGAAGACTTCCTTCTTCTTTCCCTTCCCCTTCCTCCATCCCTCCCTTCCACTGTTTCTTTTCCTCTCCCTCCTCTCCCCCTTGCTCTTCCTCTCTTTTTCTTCTTATCGTTTTTTATTCTATGCAGGCTAAAACCCTATTGGTTGGTGCCACCCACATCTGGGGCAAGTCCTCCCTCCTCAATTTGATGAGCTACATGTCAATCATCCACAGACATGCCCAGAGCTGTGTGCCAGTAATTGTACTAGTCCATTGAAATTTGCACCCCAACTAACCATGTCACTTAACTACCACGGGTTCCTTTGGAAGAAGCAGTATCTGCTTTGTTACAGCCCGAATAGTAAATGGATTTTTAACCACACTTTGTAAAACTACCTTACCTCTAATATTGATAATTTATCATTAAGAAAAGACAGTGGTCCTTTCAATTGTTTGTTTCCTGACCATGAAGGTCTTTGAGTCCTCACAGTACACGTGGGGCAAAGCAGTTTGAGACAAGCACTAGCTCTGGAGGACAGTAAGCCACTTCTGACCCTGGCTTTCTGTGGATGCGACAAGGGGACATTTAGCAGGGACAGCGTGCATGTCAGCTCCGTCACTTCGTCAGCCGGAGCTGTAAAATGCAGTGTGGGGCGGGGTGCGCGCATTCCCTTTGCCTGGGAGATCAGAGCAGTCTCCTTCTACTTCCTGTGTGGGCTCTGTGAACGGCTTCCTGGTGCCTTTGGCTACCTGCTCTCTTTGTGGGCAATTTGGGCAATCTGTTGCAGCATTCCTGAGCGATTTTAGAGGTGCTGGTCTTCAATTCATCAGGGGAGTGAACAAGCACCCTTCTTCCTCACTGCAGACACCCTATTCTGTGGCTCCTGAAACTGCTCCTTCCAGGGTGGTGGTTCCAGAGCATTCCTTGATGTCCCTTACACCCTGCTGTGTGACCTCTGAACCCGCAGGGGCACGGTAGCCAGGGTCTGTCCTCCAGACTTGCTTCGGGGCAGACCAGTGTCGCTGCTCTTGCGTGGACCTGCCTGGGTGGAGGCAATTAACTGGGGTAATTTAGACAGTCTTAAGGGGCAACAGCAAGACGGGGAGAGAGAAGTGGAAAGAAATGAGGGGGTTTCAGAGGCAAGGGATGAGCAGCTGTGGACACACCGGGAGGCACACCAGGACGGTGCTCCAAGTCTTGCCTTCACTTTCCCAACCATTGTATGCCTTGCCGGGCCAGCACTGGCTCTGCAGGCAGCGCACACATTCACACTTGTCTTCAGCTTCCACCTTCACATGAGGCACCACCCCTTCTAGTGCGTGTGGAGATGCTCGGGCTGGAGGCCTGCGAACATCGCTCAGCTCGCTTTCCCTTGGACCCCACCGGCCTGGCAGGGGCTGTCACTAGGCAGGCACCGCAATCCGAGCGGGAGAAGGTGGGTACCAACTCCATGGTGCGGTGGGGTGGAAACCTCTTTCCAACATTCCCGCTCCCCACAGAAGTCCAGAACGCCTCATGCACTTCTAATGATAGGAGGTTATGGGGGAAGACCCAAGCATGTCCAAAGATGGTCAGAATCATCTTTGAACATCCGAAGTTCATAGGATGATGTGCATAAAGAAGGCACCCTGAGACCATAATGTTAAGTGAAATAAGGATCAGGCACACAAGATTAAACGTCGCAAGGCTTCTCCTATGTGAGAAACTCAAATTATAAGTAAAGTGTGAAATAAAAGGTAGGTGATTGAAAGTAGGGAGGGAGGTCTTTCTCAAGTGGAAAAGGATCAAGAAATGGAGGAAGAAAGGAGGGAGGAAAGGAAACGGGGGTGAGAAATGGAATTGGGGTGTGCTCTGTGCATGCACCAGCTCCGAGGAGTGTAAACAATGTGTGCCACACACACAGACTCATAAGAATTAATCATCAGTCAATCAATCAATCAAAGAACCTACTAGCTCGCACTGAACAATTCAGAAGGCAGTTTCCACAGCCCATCTTTGCGCTGCCTGATAAATGGTAGCATGTCCACCATCCCCCTGTTCTGATTCTTTCCATTCTTCCCTGTCTGCGCTCGGCGGTCAGGTCCATGGAGAAAGGGCCATTTCAGACAAGGTCTCCAGGGTGTTAAGAGAGTCAGGGCCCCAGCTGGAAGCCACAGTGCGTTTTCTGATCTTTGGGCAGATTTTAGCCATGTGGCAGGAGGTGAGCGAGAGCTGGAGGTGCCTGTTAAGAAGCAGCTTTATATCTCCTTCATCTCAGCTCCCTCTCCTCTGGCAGCACCCCAATCAGTCCCCCGTCACCACGTGGTGTGGGGCTGAAGGTGGATACTAAAGGGGACGAAACAAGGTGGAAGTTGCGCTTACGTAGCTACGTGATCGCCGGCACTGAGGATCGGGTGGACGCCAGCTCTCAGGAGGCCGCAGCGAGACTCCCCTCTGGACAGCACTGACGGATGGGTTGCATTAGACAGTGTGTTTATCTTAGCGAGATTTCTACAGTCTTATTTCCTCCTCTGTGGACGGAGGCCAGCTACCTCTTTATTTTCAGGGGTTGTAAGTGACTAAGCCAGTACCACATTTTTAGAAACAAAGATTGCTATCAGTTGTTTATGAAGCTGAATCCAGACAAACCTGGTGGATAATGGGATTTTATTACAGATCATTAACTGCGTGTACAAAGAATTCTGATACAATGCCTCCTCTCACAGCATAGGAATGAAATGTATTTTAAAAATTCAGAATATTACCTGTGTCCCCGGCAGAAAGAGGAAGAGCAGAGCAAGCTGAAATTCCACAGGCAGTGAGCCTTGGACTATGAATATAGCTTTTAATAGGCTACTCAGGGAGCAAAGTGTCACCATGTAACGTCCCCTCAGTCGTTTCTCTACTGGAACTTGCGGCCCACGGTGTTCCCAGGCCTGAGCTATGCATGCTGGCCCCACCTTCCTCAGTGGCAGCCGGTGCCCTGGCCTTGGCATGGGACACTCTGGACGCTCACTGTGCCCTCCTTGTTCCTGTTCTATGCCTCGCTGGGCACAGAGTGGAAAGTGCAGCTACTGTAACTCACCGGAACTTGCTCCTGAGAAACAGCCAAACAGAAATGCAACTCTTTGTTAAATCCCAAAGCCATTTAAAACATGAGCTAAAGGGCAGGAATGTAGTTCAGTACTAAAGTGCTTACCTAACGCATGGGCCACATCCTCCCTGCCTTCCCTCTCCAGCACCGGAAAAAAACTAGTGAGAACAACCCACTTCTCATTTCTTTCTGGAATGATTTCTGAACTAGTTTTTCATACCATGAAAGAATTTAAATTAGTGAAAAACTGTTGGTTTTGCCTGTTTTGAAGCATTATAATTTTTTTTTCAGAATTTAGAATAAGAGGCTTGGTAAAAAAGTGGATGTGTAAATAAAAATTTCAGGGGGAGCATTTTGAGAGGGATTCATGGTGATGTATCTTTTATTGTAATTAATTTTGAAAAAATGTAAACGCTCATGGTATGTTGTGATCACACCACGCTCATCACTGGAAGAACTCCAGGGACCAAGCCCTGTCCACTGTGTCACTAGCTGGCTCGGCCCACCCGCTGCCCCACCTCCCCTGAGCCGGTGATGCTGTGACTGACATGAGGGGAACAGAGAGCTGCACCCTGCGACCTCCCTGAGCTTCCGATGTGTGCACCGTGCTGCGCTCAGGAAGTGGAGGCCGGGGGACCTTCTGGGGCTTTCTCTGAACACTGCTGTAATCACACTCATGCATACTAACTTTGTTACGTTTGTGTCTTACAAAGTTGAATAACTCAGTTTTGTTTGTTTGTTTGTTTGTTTTTGTTTTTCTTCTGGTACCAGGAATTGAACTCACAACCTTGTGCTTGCCAGGCAGGTGTTTTGCCGCTGAGCTAAATCACCAGTCCCAACAACTAAGTTTTGTAGGAGGTCAAAATTCATGGAAAATCAAATCTCTGGATAATTTAAACATTTCAGGTCAGTCTTCCTTTAAGTCTACAATAGCCTAGAAACTAATGCCAGGGCGTGCGATCCCGAGAGAGCAGAGTGACGCTTAGGCACACATCCAGGTGTTTTTAAGGCAAAACATGAAGGACTTCCTCCCGTGCAAGGCCCAGCCCCGCATGGACTGCAAGTTCCTGCCCCCGGATTGTTTCTCTGAACCTCAGCTGGCCCGCCTCGCCACTGGCATAACACCCGCGCGCGGCAGTGTGAGACACGTAGACCTCAACAGACAGCTCAGTGAACTGGACCGAATGTCACACCGGTCAAGATAGAGCAAACGCCCGCGGAAACGTTCCCCGATAATGCATCATTGTCACTGATCTTCCACACTTAGTTGCCATGTTCTGAATCTGCTCCCACACTGCCTGTTCTTCATCACAATTAAGTCCAAGAGTCAATTTTAGGAAAAGCGCAGAGCAGCAGTTCTGGTGAGCACTTCAGTGACCCTGGATCCGGTCAAGGGCTCTGTGTCCCCCCTGTCCCCTCATCCCGGGACCCAGAATGAACCTTGGGAAGTTCGTCAAGGATCAGTTGTCAAACTCGATCTCGCTTTGGGAATGCACCATGTGGCAGTCTGGGTAAGCCGTTGCTTCACGACCCGATGCTGTCGGGCACAGTGTGCGTCTAACCAGAGCCTGTGCAGTGAGGGCGACTGCCTGGCCCACATATGCAGCCTTTAAGGCGAAATCGCTGTCTGGAGAGGAGACGGTTGGGTCCCTGAGGCTTGCAGCCCTGAGCAGACATGAAACGGCTGCTCTGGGTTTGAGGTCTCCCCTCCTGGGGTCCTCTGGGCATCAGAAGCACAGGGGAAGGGTGGGGGTTATGCTGAGCAGAGCGGCTCTGGGTTCCACCTTATGGGCTGAGGGTGAGTGAGAGTCGGAGGAGCAGAACCCAGCGCAGGAAGCGGAGGACTGGTGGATGGTGTGTACTGAGGCGTTGTGGAGGCCCAGGACACTGTTGGACAAGAGGAAGCCCAGGAACCCATGCTTAGTACAGAGCCGGTGATGCTGCGTGGGACAGACCCTCCCCCAGCGCCCTCAACAGACGATGCGGTGGTCACGCTTCAGAACCTGCCTTTGGCCCCCACTCAGCCCGGATGCCCCACTTGCCTTAGCTGAGAGCGGCCCTTTCTCAGACTCTCGTGTTCCGCGTGGCCGGGCACTGACAGTGGGGTGGAGACCAGGCGAGAGGGCTCAGGCTTCCGCATGGACGCCGGGCGATGTGAGGCTGGGGTACTTACTGTGCACGCTGCTTGACACTGCTGTGATGTTTTCTTACGGGTGTGGAGCGTGAAAGACGCATCTGTGCCTGCCAGGGACCTGTGGCCTGTGTGTAACACAGAAATCTGGATCTCAGAGGCTGTGCTCACGCTCTCTCCAAGACACGGTGCTGTGTTATTCTAATAGATCAGCTCTCAGGCAGAGCCGGCCCACTAGTGTGGGAGCGTCAGTCTGCACGTGTGGCTGCGAGCCCGAATCAGGAAGCCTGAAAGTTGGCGTGGAGGTGTGAGCGGCTGATTTGACCATGCGGATCTGCTGAAAACATGAGGTCTTCTGCTCTGGACCAGCTGAGGTCCACTGCCCAGGTCTTTGCCACCATCTGCAGGTGCCACCCTCTCTGCCAGGTGCGGCCCAGGGCCAGGACAGCCAGAAGTGTAGGAGTGAGATTTAAGGGGCTCTTTGTGCTCCCTGTCAGCGGTGTGTGTGCCTGGCCCAGAGCACAGTGCTTCTTAAACTCTGTGCAGGGCCCCTCCTGCCTCAACTGGTGCCCACACCGCTCTGACTCTACCCATGCGGACCTGAGGAACCCTAGGAACTCCTGTGCTCCGAGACCAACGTGCAGGTCCACCGGGTGCCCCGCTGCGATGTCAGACCACATCTGTGGTCGCTGGGATTCTGTTTTGTCCCTGGCTGATGCCCAGCAGCCAAGTTTCCTGGAAGCACCCTGTCCTCACACTTCCCTGGCACGCAGCCCCAGGGGGCCCTGCAGCTCCTGGTCTGCAGGTGAGGCTCTCGGAGGAGCGGCATTGCTGCAGGTGCCATGGCGAACCGCAGGGTGACCCAGGGCTCAAGGCCCGCAGAGCCCAGCCTCCTCTTTGCCTCTGCCCGAGCCCTGCCCTGCTGCCCATTCTGGGGCCGGGGCCAGCTTCCATTGGCAGCGTCCTGTCTGACCAGGGACCCCGTGTCCCAGCATATGCTCTGCCTTCCGTGCAGCGGCAGGTGCCCCGGGAAGTCTCCTGACTGCTGCACGTGTCCCTCTCCCATCTGAGGGGGGGATCTGCCAACAGCACCCCACAGGTTGTTGGGAAGCGTGGGTGAGCATGGTCCTGACTTCCATTAGAACAGTGTCGGCATCCGAGCAAGGCGCCCTGCCACCCTGAGTCCCTGGGACGCTTCCTGACGCTGCGTGCCCTCGTGGAGGACCTGGGGCTCCTGCAGATCACCAGCTCGGCCCAAGAGGCAGAGGGAACCTGCCTCCTTCCAAGACAGGGGCCACTGCTAAGAGCTTGTGCGAGGGAGGCTGTGACAGAGGAGGCGGGAAAGCTGCTGAAGGGGACACCGTGCGAGTTCTGTTCTCTGGGACCGCGAGGGACGCGTGCTGATGCCTCCTCCATGCGCACGGTGGGGGGGCACCTTCAGCACTCGGTCACCCCCAGAGCGGTGACGCCGGGTGTCTCGGGTGGCAGACGCTCTGCTGGCACCGCATGCAGTGTGAAGCTGCAGCCTGTGGGTGTGGATGGCCAGGTGCAGCAGCCAGAGCTGTCCAGAGTGATGTGATGTGTCACGCTGTTGTAAAGACAGGCAAGCCCACAGTCCTGTGGGTAAGCCAGCAAGCTGAAGACCAGGGGAAATCCCACGCTGCATTTGGCCGAACGCCCTCTACCTGACGACCTTCCACTGATTAGGCAAGGCCCACACATATTAAGGAGGGCTGCTTGCTTTGCTTCGTCTGCAGACTCAAGTGTTTGCCTCATCATCTGCCTGCACGGCAGCATCCAGATGTGATGGATCAAAAGGGCGGGCCCCAGGGTGCAGCCAGGGGGGCGGCTTCCCTAGATCGCCACGTGGTGCATTCACAGTGAGGATGAGCTGGGCAACGGGCCCTGACGCACTTCTCCGGGTTTATTCTGGGTCCTGGGACAAGGGCTCAGTGCAGACGCAGAACCCATAGCCAAGTCTGGGCTCACTGTTGTGCATGCCAGAACGGCAGACAAGGGGACACACACCTCTGACCACCACACCAGGCTCTGCAGGGGCTGGATGTGACCTGCCCACCCTCTGCTCAGAGACACTCGCTTCAGGTTCTTTCAGGACTGTGTCCTCAGACTTGTCTTTGGTCACCATGGATACAAAGAAGGCGTCCCTTCTGATGATGGGGGTGGGCTGGCCCTGAAATGCCAGGTAAATCTCTGTAGCATCTTCTGTAGACGTGTGAGTAATCAAGCCA